GAAAACTCCAGTAAAAGGCGAACCAGAGAGATTCAAAGTGAGAAGGCGCTTTGGGAGGCAATATTCAGGATCATTAATCCACAGATTTTGAGTTTCATAGTCAATAGCCTGGACAGTGAAGTTCCCTGAATTGGGAAGCGCAACTACTGTCTGGTTTTGACCATCACAAAACAGGTCAAAACCCGGATATCCACATGGTTTTGGATGACGATTTTCGAGTCGAAAAGGGAATCGAATAATGGCCTCACCCCGGCTACAGGCTGATGTGGAGCAGAATTCTGTGCTGCTTGAAACTGTGATCAAGAACTCGGGGAAGAAGATGATGATGATGATGAAGAAACAGACAACTTTACAAGAATCCATGGAGTTGTTGACTTGTGATTTTCGGACAAGAATTTAAGATATATCAGAACAAGGCATATATTAGGCATTGTTTGGTTAAAGTGAATTCCATGGAAAACGTCACATCCAAAAAAAATGAATTCCACTTTGACCGTTTGATTACAACGTGAAAATGAAAATCGAATTCCAAGGTACAATTATTTTAAACTGCATTTTCTTTATTTTCATGAAAAACGAATTTATATGGATTTAATAAGTTTTTATTTTTCGACTAACATGGAATTACAATTCTTTTTCACCAAAGGCCTATCAAACGGACCCTTGATGTCAACAGTTTCGGACATTTTTCAAAGAATAATGCTACTTGCAGTCACTCACTGCAGCAGTCGCCATATGTGGCATACACATGTCAATTGTGTATTTGATGTATTAAATGTGGTCAAAAACTACCACATTAATATATCAAATAATTACTTGTCATGTGTGAGTCACATAAAACGACTGTTGCAGTGAGGAACTGCATGGAACATTACTCTTTTCCAAATATCAAGTATTTAGGGATGTTGCTATCTGGACCTGGTAAAGAAGGGTTAAAACTAATAAATTAGTGTTGGGAAGTCAAACGAAGCTAATTATTAGTGTAGCTAAAAGATAAGAGCAGTGTAGTCAATGGGTGATGTTCGGATCTTTAGTCTTTTGATTAGAGTAAGGGTCGGGAGATAGAGGAATGGACCACTTTGTTATAGGCGTTGACATTTCTATCGAAAAATAATCATGTCGGTACAATATTTCTGAATTTAAAATAATTATTAGTCTAAATCTCACTTAGAGAACGCAATCTAGCAATAATCTTGCCACTTTTGGTAAAACCCAATAATTTTGTATTTGACAACTATTAAAATGAGTTTTTGGGAAAGAATGAATTTTGAAATGATGATTTTATGTGTTGTTAAAAAGTAAGGAAAAAATTGAATTTAAGTGCAAAATATGTTAT